GCAAGGTCAGGAGGCTTCATACACTGATTCCTAATCCATCACATAGTGTTCCCCTTATCCTTGATCATCCTGTATGTCCCTGTGCCACGCAGTCCCCAGTGATGGAGAGCTGATTTCAGAATCACATTGTTATCCTAAACCAGCACTCACAACACTACTGAAGATAAGTGGCTGATTTACAAACAGACCGTGGCTGTCCAGAATCCCCACCACTGTTATGGCACTGAGAGTGGCCAAGGCAGAAGGTGTAGAACTTCATGGCAATTGAGCGCAAGCAAGGAGGTCCTTCTGACCGTCACTCCAAAGCACTGCTGACAGTCGCATCTTGTCATGTAGCTCAGTGCATCAGACACATGTCCTGACACAAATCTGCACTGCTTCTGGGAACCTAGGAAAAACATCTGCAGAAAGTTTGAGAGTTACTGCTCTAGTAACTTTCTTCAGTTCTCAAGGCTCATGTCTTCCAGACCTCTGGCCATTCATTCTGCTCTTCTCTTGATGCTTCCAACGGGCCCCAAGAGTGCTGTTCAGAACAGAAATAGTACACCAGCCACACAAATGGCAAGCAGAGTGGAAAATTATTTTGCATACAGACTCCTGTCCATATATTCTACCATAACATTCATGGCACAGTATTGTTGATTCATAGCCACTTTCAGAACTCTTGCAACTGCCCATCTGTTTTCTGCAGACCTGGTGTCTCACCAGTTACTCTACATTTTGATTTGCACAGTTGATTATTCCTGTCCAACCACAACTCAGAACTTGTCCTTGATGAACTGCATCATATTTATTTTAGATAAGTTCTTCAATATATTACATTATTTTGAAGTCTAATCCTGTGCTCAGAGGGCTTACATCCTCTCCCTGGTTGGTGTCATCTGGAAATTTTGCATGCAGATTCTATCATCTATCATTAATTAAAATATTGAATATTTTCAGGCAATCCAGGGAAGAATCCCACTTGACAGATCCTTCTAGTTTGACTATGAATCACTAGTAATTATTCTGAGAACAGCTTTCCAGCCAACTGTGTACCTACCTCATAGCCCATATTGCTACCTTGTTTATGAAAGTGTGAAAAGCCTTTCAAAAATCCAGATATACTATTTTCTACTTACAGGAAAATTAGGCTCCACTGACAAGGTACCTTCTGGGAAAAAAAAAATCCAGGCAAATTCATTTATCATATTATTATCTACAGGCTATTTATTTAAAATAATCTGTTGACTATTTGATTCAAACCTTTTCCCCCAAAATTTCAGATAAGCTAGCTACTCCAAAGGGGACAGCAAAGGACCCAGAAATGTTTACATGTAGGTGCAGTGTTTACCCTTTCACAGATTTTTGAACCTAAACTGTCCTCCAAATAATCTCCAGTGTAGCTATTAATTGCTCAGACATTGCTTCAGCTATTTCACCCTACACTGCAGAGATAATTTAATAAGCTCCAGCTTGTTCTAAAATACCTATTATCCTATCTCATTAGTTTATAACCTGTTCTTTTCCTGCTATAGTTGGAATTCTTACCTTTTTCAAGGTGGCAGTTCTTTTCTTGCCACTTGATTACAGGTCACCCTTTTTGGCGAAGAATGATGCAAAAAATTACATGAACTCTCGGTTTTCTCTGCACCATGAGATCATGAGTTTTGTCATTCCCTCTCAGCTAGTAGTCCAGAAACTCAGTCTTCCTCTTATTACTACTTAGAATGTAGTATGTTTCTTTGTTACCATGCCCTTTATTGGTTGTACTTTGTTCTGTGAGTTGGCCTACCTGATTTGGCCCTTGCATTTTTCTAATCTTCTTTTACACTCATCTCTAGTAGCATGTCTAGTTTTCACTTTCTATATGAGTCCTCAATTTTCAGATCATACAATTTTGTCTCCTCTTACACTTTTTTACTGGGACACCTTTTATTTGTGCTTTTAATATTCTTTATTATGACTGGAAAAGAAAAAGTTAATTCCTTAAAAAATTGCCGGAATTTCCTAGGTTTGTTTCCCAAAAAACTTCACCTATCAGTTCTATGAGCTGAATGCAATCTATTTTCTTGCATACTATTCCTTTTATTCTCAAGTTCTCTCTTTTATCCTTCTGAAGAATGATAACCTTGCTCTTTCATGACTGGTATCGCTCAAATCGCCTTTTACCGATTTTACGGGCTCAGCCATCTCTTTCCTAATCAAGCCTAGGAGCACTTCCCTTCCATTGCTTTTTCTACACTGGGTAATCCTGAGCCTATTACACTTGCATGGTCTCCTGAATTTAGTATTTAGCCAGTAAAGTGAAAAGGTTCTAACCAAACACTATCGATTGGTAATACATGATAAAACGACTGGATGAGCCCATCTCTTGGGACAAGAGCCACCTGCAAAAAAGGGCAGCTTTGGCATCTGTGCCAGTAAAATGAGCATATAGACAGGATCAAAATATCTCCTAGCCATAACTGTAAGCTTTTCCAGGTCACAGCAATTAGCAAAGTGGAAAGGAGATTTATGAAATACTCCTAAGGTGGTTAACAGAGGCACTGTCCTCCCAGGCTTCTTTTGCCAGCACTCTGGTCAGCTGTAAATTGAAATGATTACTCTGATTGTTGAAATAGCTGCTATCACTTAGCATGGCTAGATTCAGTGTTGACACCACACAAGTTTCAGATATCAAAGATTTTCTGTATAAATTAGCTCCCTTCAACATGTGGTCATGCCCCCTCTGCCGCTAGCAGCTATTATTCTCTCCTACAGCTGCATTCCAATAAAACAAAAGGAGCACTATAGCAAGGATCAGAGAAGCAACCATATGCACCTGCCACTGCACTTTTATCGCAACTCTAAAGTTAGCATAACACTGTCCAATGAATTTCTCTAAGAAATACATACCTACCCACTGTTTATTGCTGAATTCATCATATAAATCTAACCAGGAACAAGAAAGATCTCCAAAAAGCAAATATGGATATCAACTTGATACAAGTTGGAACTTTTCTCTTCATATAAAGAAACTGTATTTCAACCTGTTTCCTTTACAAGTCTCCTGAATGTATGGTGCTATTTAATGTTTAAGAATTCTTTAGTATAGCTGCCAAGATTTTAATATGTATATCAACATCTTTACCTGAGGGCAATTGCAAAGGAATACAAGAATTCCTTATGGGAGACCAAGCAACCTTCATGCTACTAAGTCTCCAGAATAGGTCTGAGTCTGCTGGATTGTCACCACAGTCTGACTATTCAGGGACCCTTGTTCCATCTCCATGAACTTTACACAGCACTATTTGCCAGGTCTTTTCCATCCACCAGCAGTCATGAGGTTACAAATCTTTGCTTGGGCTTGCTGCGCAAGCACCCTAGTCACAATGCTAACAACTCCTAACTTCTGGGAGCTAAGGGATAGCAAACATTGTGTCAGAAGAGTGCAAAGCTGGAGAGAAAATAATCTAATATTGCAAGGGTGCTAGAAATAATAGGGTTTTCAGCAAAGCAGAAAGCCAGGGTAAGGAAGAGAACAGATATCCGCACAGTAGGAATTTTGGTAGAGAGCGAAGGAGCGACAAAAACTCTTAGGAATGAGCTGAGGGCTGGCAGAGAGCAGCAAGGACAAACAGAACAAGAATGGCAGTGGGCAGCTTGAGGACTGTGCTGCTAGCTAGACAGAGGCAGGAGGGCCCTGAAGTGGTCCCAGACTTCACATGTCCCATCAGCACTGGAGCACATGTGGAGAAAAGCTTCCTGTTTCCTCTCCTTCAGGACATATCTCACACGCACGGAAACCATGCTGAAAATCAAAGCAATGCAAAGCAACAGACAGTTCAGAACTGCACTACTGCTCCAAACCAACGTGCTGGTGTGCACAGCTGGACACAGAGTCAAACCCACTGCAGCCAGAAGGATGAGACCAGCCTCTGAGGGAGGATCTGCTTTGTGAGACAACAAAGTAGGAGCTTGCCCACATGGAAATAAAGAGTTTTGAGGGTCCTTCCTGGGGAGAGCTCCTAGAACAGCAAGCAGCCCAAGACAGAAAATGATCTTCCCATACATACAACCCAGAAGCCAAAAAACTTCTTCTAAAGGCAAAAATTTTAAATTAGAAAAAAAAAATGTCTTGCATATCACTAATTTTCACTGTGTGTGGTGGTTTGAGACTGTGTGTGTGGTTTGGTACTAATCCATTATCTAGACCTACGAAAACAAGTTGATCCAGTTGATTTTCTATGCATTTCTCCCAGCATCTCAGCTGGCCAGCAGACGTGGAAGTAAAGCAGCAGAATCTTCTGATCCTCTTCTCCTTCTCCCACATCTCAAATCAGAAACCATCTCAAACTGTTAAAGCACTGAATGAACTCCAGCAGACTTTACACTAGAGGGAGCTTTCCTCAGAAGGACCCACCACCTTGGCATCCTCTTTCTCATTACATTATTTTTAATATATCTACAGGGAAATACACCAGATTCAGTTGAAACAGTTATCATTTAAACCCTCCAGTTTTGCCAGTTGAAGCATTGCAGCAGGTCAATGGTGTGGGGCAGGAGGGAGTACAAGGACAGGGTACCTGGCAAGTTCTGCCCAGAGATGTGCTCTGGCTGACAAGATAAAGCTCAGCACTGACATGTTACTGAGAAGCCTCTGGATACGAACCATGTCCATCCTGCAGCCCCACCAAACTCCCGTGTTGAGCTCAGTAGCAACTTTATAGATTACATTTTATACTGACTCAAGAGACCACTCAGAATTAAGCTGTTAATGAGTACTTTAATGAGGAAAGCTGAGTTAAACCTTCCCTAAGGCTTGTGGCCATCCATTTCCAAAGGCTGAAACCTAGATAACTGTGCTCCTCACTGCTAATACAAGTGTTGAACTGGTCTTCAAGTGAATTGTTTTAAAATATTATTTAAACTGAAAGTACTACAAGATGTTAGCAACAGTCAGGACCTACTCAATTTATTTTCTAAACTCCAGTATACTATCCCAAAACTGTAAGCTGAACTAGAACAGAAATCCTTACCTGTGAAAGCATTTGTGGCCTGAAAACCAGCTTCCTGCATACTGCTCTCCCAGCGAAGCTTGAGATTCCCGTCTCAACCTGTCCTTACTGGAGACAACTGCTGAGCTTGTTGCTGTCAAGTCACTTCCATCTTAGCTCATCAGAGTCCATTTCTCTTTCCATTTCCATATTTGGCACCATCCAGTTACCACCTGATCCCAGGTCTTTCGATCTGTACGCAGAAGGGATCTGCACTGAACCTAAATAGGAAGCGTTGGACAGTTCCATCAACCAGCCAGCCAGAGGATTTGTGCCATGATGAATGCGAAAATGAAGCAAATCGCCTCTCAAGATTTTCTTTCTCTTTTACAATTAAGTTCTAATCCTGTGTTCATCCAGCAACATTTTTTCAGGTCTCGGCCAATGGCGATGTTCAATTGTCTCTCCTCTCTTGTGTTCCTCTCCCCTCAGGCACACTCACTGAGAAATTAAAAAAGAAGAGATTATGTTTCCTGATGACCTGTAGCAACACTAAAATTAACAGACTCCAGGGAACAAAAACCCAAAATACATTATCATGGATTGATTGTACACATTAAAGGAGATCTTCAGAAGGCAAATCTTGCGATTTTGCTGAGATGCAAAGTGTGACCACACAGCTCTTTGAAGTGCAAAGAGGAACAGTGCTGAGGGTGTCATATGCATCTCTGAGAACATGATATGATTTACATTTCAAAAGCCATATTTAGCAGAGATGGGGGCAGCAATACAATAACAAAATTGCAGTTAAAAGGGAAAAGGAAAAATACTAAAGGCTCTCAAGTCTAGTCTATTCAAAACCTCAGTGAAATTATTAGCATTTCATGGAGCTGCTTCCCTCCTTTTCTGGAGCAGGAAAAAAGAATGCTGTGTGCCAACACTATATATGCCGTTCTTACAGTCTTCTGTGGTTAAAAACCTTTGTATGTCTTGCTGTGGATTATCAAACTTTTTATGTCTCGCTGGTGCTTATCTATTTAAAATCTCAGTTGTAAAACAGATGACGCAATTCAGATGCCTTCAGACATTTGGTAAGGTTAAAAACACCCACAGGCTACACAACAGAAAGGTGGTTACGTTTTTCTTGATACTGCTGCTTCTGCACAGCATGCATACCTGCAGCTCACTGAAACCTACGGTTGTTCCACAACCAGTTTTTAAAAACCAGGATACAATTAATCTCATGGGGTGAAGGCAAACAACAGATAGGCACATGTTTAGGGAGAGAATTATTTTAGAAAACAAATAAGAAAGAAAAGAGGACTTGGAGGAGAACCCGCTCACTCCCCAGACATCCTGTTCCCTCACATAATGATGCCTGGCTTGCTATCTCCCAACTCAGTGGCACAGTCAGGTTGAAACTACATCTCTGATGATCTTATGACCTACTAATGGATTTTAGATATAAGTCCAGCCACGGCTTGCAGTGCCAGATTGGACTCAAGGTCCCCTAACTGGAACAGCCCACATCAGAGTAGGCCAGTGTCATTGCCAGTCCCAGCACCCGCTGCTTCAGAGAACATTGCAAGACCCAGCTCAGCGGGTAGGTGTGAATAACCCACCACTTGCTACCCAGCCTCTTCACCCTTTACCCTGACCTGCAAGATCTAGAGACTAGCTTATACCTGAAGCTAAGTCTGAATATCCCAGATGGTCCATAACTGCAGAGAGGATTCGCATGCTCCTTGGGGTACAGCCAGCCGGCCCTCAAGGGCTTCATTAGGGATCTGCCTTGGGGGGAAGAAAGGATCTCTTCTCAGGTGTGTCACTGAAGCAAGTGAGCCTGACACCTGATGAATGTCATTTCCCTCGGAACACCGTGAATGAAAGCTAGCTGCTATCAAAGATGAATCTTAATGATGGTGCTGCTTTTTTTTCCCCCAAATTTTGTTATGCCAGTATTACTGAAGAACACACATTTTTGTATCAAAACACAGCACAGGAATGACTGATTAGTTACTTGTATTCAAATCTAGCAATTTGCATTCAAATCAAATGAGGTTACAGAACAGATTTAAGATGTTTTCCCCATTTCTTATCCAAACATCTCAACCTAATAGAGAAGAAAGTGGAAATTAAGAAGGAGAAAGGAAAAAAAAGCCTTTACATGTAGCATCTTCTATCAAAAAACACTGCTAAAAATTTTTAGAATAGTGCTTAAAATGCCATTATTCCTGAATGTTATGTAGGTCCTCAAGATGCTTTTTCAACCCTTTGAAGTGCTCTATGCAACTAATAACCATTTCATATGAGGTTATTTTATTCTAAAATACATACAACTGAGCAAATATAATATACATTCACAGCAGCACATATTTCTTTTGAGTCTTAACATTGTGCTAACTATTCTGTAATGACTACAGATGGATGCTGCACTCATTTCCCGAGCTTTTTCTCTAAAGGCCCGAGTTTCTTCTACATTTATAAGAGCAGGTCCGTATTTGCATTCACATTTCCAGTCTTGTAACTTCTGATTTTGGTTTACAAATCCACAATTTTGATGCCTTCTATTTTCAACATTATCATCTCCCCATCTTAGAGATGCTCACGAGACACGCACTAACACCTTAGCATCCAGGGAAATTCTCTTATTGTTACACCTATGTAGTAGATATAATAAATTCTGATTCTTAGAAGAGTAAAATATTTCCTAAAAATTAACATTTTATTAAAAGAATAATTATTTTCCACATCTTCAACTGTTCTGCTGAACTAGTTAAGAACCCAACAGTGCTGAAGAAACTCTATGACACAGGCACTTTCAGTAACCACTGCTTCTTCAGACAGAAAGATGTAATTTTAATAACATTACGGGACATTGAAACACAGAGTTCATTCAGACCTGAACATTTAAAAGCTAGTGCACTGCATCAGGTTTAGGTCCTCCCTTAAGGACTGAAGTGAAATTAGATACTGATATCTCTTGATTGCCCTAAGTGATCATTTTCTATCACTGCTAAAGCACTCTTCTCCTCTGGTAGATAATGAACTCAGAGGTGGCTGGCAGAATGTAAGGAACTGGAGCTTGTTGGGCCTCATCACAACTCAAAACCAAGTTCAGTACTTATAAAAAAAATCATATTTACAGCCATGTAGGCTATTTAATGATAATTTTCATTAGGCAGACTTTTAATCACTCCCATTTGCACAACAATTTCAGGTTTCTCAGATTACAAATGCATCCAGACGACAAAGCAGCCCAGCCCATACCACAGCAAATCAGGAAAACAGCAAATTCAGCATGTAGAGCTATGACCTTTCTCTTGTACTTCACATTATGCAGAAATTTTCCATTAAAGCTGAGCTTATGTTTAAAGGGAGGAAGTTTGTGTTTGTTTCCTAACAGACTGGCATGTTTGTATGCACGGAATGGGTCGGGACCTCTGCTGACACATTTCAGTGTGGCTCAGCCAGCTCCAGTGAAGTTATGTGTTTATCCTTTTATACCAGCGTGGTGCAAAAATGCTAAACCAACTTGCTTAAAGGGTTGAAAACTGAAAATGTGTATCTGAAAAAGAGAGCAGAAAATAAACAATACTGGTAGAACTATAATAAGGTGTGATCTTTGATATTACATTTATTTTTCAAAACCTGCAGAGACCCCAGTGAGAACACATCCCATTTTACTGATTAGATGGCAAGACAAAATGAGGACTAGAAAGACTACAGATTTTCACTTTGCTCCATCTGTTGCCTCCTTTCCAATTGCAACAGGAACTCTGCTTCCACTTCTGCTTTTATTCATCCACTGCAGTGTTATATGAGTCTCAGAAGCAAACCAAAGCAAGCCATTGTGTTGTATCAATATGTAGCTGTGCTATAAAGATTTTCAGCTATTATGCACTTACATGATGGAATACCTAGAGAAAAAGCAAATCCATTTGCTTTCATCCGCTCTACTTTTCTCAGATTTGGTCCTGGGAAAGACACCAGCATCTGAACCTCACATAAACTGCAAACAGCAAATATTTTGACTATTTAACACCTTATGTGACCATACTCTCATGGTATATTTAGCTAGTAAACCTGTTATTTCTCTTTTCTAAACATATGAAGATGCAGCATTAATAAAGGGTCACTGTAAAAAAGAATCTGAGAGAGGAAATTAAGCAAAGAGTACAATTAAATCCTGCATTAGTATCTACATTTTATGAAGTATTGTGCAATCATCAGCCAGGACCAAGCCTGAAGGAACTTGCACTGAAAGAAGAAGTGAAATACTGCTTTTTCCAATACTGATATTTCTGTAATGCCTTGAAAAACTCAAAAGCACTGGCTGACATGCAAATGCTGCAGATTGGGGGTTTTTTCCATTTCCTTTCTCTATATACAGTCTGTTTCTCTGGCCACATGCTTTAGGTTCTCACAAAGGCATTAAAAACTCAGCGGATGTGCTGCCAGAGGGGCTACAGCCATGGGAAGCATTTCCTGTGATAGCCCTTGGCATCCTTTAGGATGCTAAAGTACAGCATTTCACTAAGGTGTATAACACATTTCCTAACAGGACTATCTGTAGATTAAGCCCACACATTTACATTTTTGAGAAAGTTACTGAACAGCTTGTGAGCAGTGGTTTAATTTAATTTAACCAAGGGAGGACTCGTGCTTGAATTTCTAGCTTTCAGGTGAAAGAAGTGTAAAAGGGGAGAGAGCTTGAGCTACCCTGCCCTGCTCTCACTGTGGTCGCTGCAGAAGGCAGGTGCCGACAGGAGCAGACCCCAGTGGGAGGTCGGATGCTGCCAGCGCCGACCCGCTCCGTGGATGAAAGGAGGACAGAAGCAAGGTGGGCTGAGCTGGCAGCATGACTCCAGCTCAACAGGAGATTTAAGTATGTCTCCAAATTCAAGGAAATAAGTCATCTCATTGAAGCCCGGACAAGTACTGAACTATTCACATGCTTAAACACTTAGCTGAAGTAATGTCTATACTTCCTATATGTTAAGGCAGCATCAACTTGGATATATCTTTAAGGTATCTTTTCTGGCTGGAAAAACACTTGAAATATTTTGTTGTTACAAAACTGGGTTTTTAAAAATACATTTTAAAGTTTGCTAAAGCAATTTAAAATGAAGCACTTGTGCACACATACAGCTCGCCTCTCCAACTCCTTTTGGACTTACCAAGTTTTCTAGGCCTTGGTTTTGCTTCTCATAGAGATTTTAAAGTAGATATATTAATATCTACCAATCATATCTAATCTTTTTCAGTGGTAAGGCCTGCGTTTTACTGTGTGATCCTCATTTATTTTATTTACTTCTATAATTTGTCTTTCTTCCAAGATAGCATTGCATCAGTGCTAAGTGAATCCTGGTTCTTGAGAAATCCATAACTCAAAGACCACTTAAAAAACTCAAGGTGACTTCCACAGGAGACCATACACAAATCAAACAGAAAACCAGACGTTCAAAATATGTTTATCTAATTCCATCTTTTTCACGCAC